TTTGTAGTATGGCTAGAAGTTGTTGGGTCGTGGTAGGATCCAGTTGCCTGTGGCCACCCAGGTCACACCCCCCAGCGCAGCAATGTAGCAGGGAGGAAGTTGAGTTGAAGATGCGGTCCAGTTCAGCGGGGTGACGGGTGCGGAATTCCAGGGATTCCCTTTTTTGTTCAAGTTGGGACTCGTACTCCCTATCCTCTTCGTCGAGCACCATCAAGACGTCGGAGTCAGATGCGAAGATGTTTCGGGAATGTTGTTGAACTCTCTGACGCTGTCTTGGCACTCTCTTGGAGCGTCTTCGCGTCCTTTTGGTTGCCCCTGAAACTACCGTAGAAATCGAGATCCCATGATCCCATGAGTTGAAGCAGTGGGCTTTTAGAATTCTTTTTTTTCAAACTCCCCCTTGCTTATTTTTGCACGAAGACCCCGAGAGGCATCCCAACAGACCGTGGCCTGCATCCAGAAAGCGTCTAACCCACAGCCCAGGCACTACGACTTGAACACAAGGGACATCCCACCATTCCGTTTTTTTCCAAGTTCGCCCCTATTCTATTCTTGCAAAACAGACCACAATGAAGGCCCCCGAAAAGAACTCAGGAAGCCTTCGAGGGCGCCAAATCGTTGAACACCGAACTGCAAGTAATGTTTTTTGCGTTTCCGCAGTTCCCCTTCTATACGTATCCGAGGCTTGCGCAGGGTCTCCAAGACAGTCCCTGGATGCAAGAAACGACAAGGATGATATTCATCGTGTTCGCCCATCAAGCCTAGCTAGCGCGCGATGGTTCTAGTATATGTATACCTATACGACCGCCTTGCGGGCGATAAGGAGGTTGGGGGGGGGGATTGAGCGACAAAAATGGATTCATGGATTGGGTTGGGTGGATTGGATTGGATGGGATAAGATGGATTGGATAAGATAAGATGGGTTGGAGGCGCAGAAACAAACGAATTGATGGATTGGGTTGGATAGATTGGATTGTGTGGGATAAGATAAGATGGGACAATATGGTTTGGAGAAGATAAGACGGATTGGATTGGACAAGATGGATTGGATACTATAAGCTGGATTGGATAAGAAAGCCCGCCGCAGGCGCCGACAAAAATGAACTTATGGATTGGGTTGGGTGGATTGGATTGGATGGGATGAAATGGATTTGATAGAATAAGATGGGTTGGATTGGAAGAAATTGATTGGATACGATAAGATGGATTGGATTGGCCCGCCGCAGGCGCAGAAACAAAGGAATTGTTGGATTGGGTTGGGTGGATTGGATTGGGTGGGATAAGATAAGATGGGGTAATATGGGTTGGATAAGATAAGATGGATTGGATTGGACAAGATGGATTGGATAAGATAAGCTGGAGTGGATAAAAAACTCGCCGCAGGCGCCGAAAAACATAAATTATGAAATTTGCGACATGCGTTAGCGTCGGGACTCCCGGGACACCCGGGACACCCGGGACACTGCCCGGCCCAACTGGGACACCTCCCGGCCACCGGCGGACGGGAAACGGACTTTCGCTCCTACTGACACCCGGGACACCCGTGACACCGCCCGGCCCAACTGGGACACCTCCCAGCCACCGGCGGACGGGAACGGGCTTTCGCTCCTATTTCGGCCTAGTTACAGGAGGATCACGTGCAGCTTCGCCTCGCCCGCACGCACGACACGAACGATTTCCCGGTGGGGGGTCTCTGTTTCACTGCGATCGCACCCCCCAACCTCCGATATGTATGTATAGACTGTATAGATATGTACATTCTCTTTCGCTGACTTATATATACACACCTATACGACCGCCCTGCGGGCGATAAGGAGGTTGGGGGGGGATTGAGATCAAATGCCCACCCTGACTGACCTCCAGCCTGTCACCTTGATCATATCTCTCTCTTTCTCTCTGTCTCTCTCTCTCTCTGTCTATCTCTCTCTCTCTCGCCCTCTCTCTCTCTCTCTTTCCCTCTCAATCAGAGTCTCCCTCCACAACAATGATGACCGCGATGACGATGAGATCCCACTATCTACGTATCCGTCGACCGACTTATCGGTGAATCTCACTGTCGATCTCACTATTGACCTCAAAAGCGAAATTAGAAAGCCCGCTGCAGGCGCCGAACAACGATTTGTTGTCGGACAACCGCAGGACACCCATCGGCACAACCATCAGACAACCATCAGGACAATCACAAGACAACCACGAGACAACCATTGCATACTAGATAATCTCTGTCTCTCTCTCTCTCTCTTTCTCTCTTTTTCTCTCGCTCTCTCTCTCTCTCTCTCTTTCTATCAGTCTCCCCCTTCACCACAATGATGGCAGTGACGATGGGTGATGGGTGCGGCGGTGCTGACAGCAGCGACAAGATGGGTTGGCCCGCCGCAGGCGTGATGGATTGGGTTGGGTGGATGATGGATTGGGTTGGGTGGATTGGATTGGATGGGATAAGATGGATTTGAAAAGATAATACGGGTTGGATTGGAAGAAGTGGATTGGATAAGATATGATGGATTGGATTGGCCCGCCGCGGGCGCAGAAACAAATGAATTGATGGATTGGGTTGGATGGATTGGGTGGGATAAGATAAGATGGGACACGATGGGTTGGATAAGATGAGATGGATTGGATTGGACAAGATGGATTGGATAATATAAACTGGAGTGGATAAGAAAGTCCGCCGCAGGCGCCGAAAAACATGAATCATGAAATTTGCGACATGCGTTAGCGTCGGGACGCCCGGGACACCCGGGACACCCGGGACACTGCCCGGCCCAACTGGGACACCTCCCGGCCACCGGCGGACGGGAAACGGACTTTCGCTCCTACTGACACCCGGGACACCCGTGACACCGCCCGGCCCAACTGGGACACCTCCCAGCCACAGGCGGACGGGAACGGACTTTCGCTCCTACTTCGGCCTAGCTACAGGAGGATCACGCGCAGCTCCGCCTCGCCCGCACGCACGATACGAAACCGAAACCGATTTCCCGGTGGGGGTCTCCGTTCGCTGCGATCTCACCCCCAACTTCCGATATATGCATTTATACAGACCAATACGACCGCCTTGCTGGCGATAAGGAGGGTGGGGGGTTTGAGCGACAAAAATGGATTGATGGATAGGGTTGTGTTTGGGTGGGATCCTATGGATTGGATCAAATAAGATGGGTTGGATAGGAACATATGGATTGGATAAGATAAGATGAATTGGATTGGCCCGCCGCAGGCGCAGAAACAAATGAATTGTTGGATTTGGTTGGATGGATTGGAGTGGGTGGGATAAGATAAGATGGGGCAATATGGGTTGGATAAGATAAGATGGATTGGATTGGACAAGATGGATTGGATAAGATCAGCGGGATTGGATTAAACAAACCCGCCCCAGGCGCCGAAATAAATGAATTATGAAATTTGCGACATGCGTTAGCGCCAGGACGCTTGGGACACCCGGGACACCCGGGACACCGCCCAGCCCAATTGGGACACCTCCCGGCCACCGGCGGACGGGAAACGGACTTTCGCTCTTATTGACACCCGGGACACCCAGGACACCGCCCGGCCCAATTGGGACACCTCCCAGCTACCGGCGGACGGGAACGGGTTTTCGCTCCTACTTCGGCCTAGCTACAGGAGGATCACCCGCAGCTTCGCCTCGCCCGCACGCACGACACGAACACGAAACCGAAACCGATTTCCCGGTGGGGGTCTCCGTTCACTGCGATCTCACCCCCAACCTCCGATGTGTGTGTGTGTGTGTGTTTGTGTGTGTGTGTGTGAGTGTGTGTGTGTGTGTGTGAGTGAGTGTGTGTGTGTGTGGAGGGGGGCCCGGGGGCCCCAGGGAGCCCTGATTTCAGTGCCCGGCCTCTGGCGGCCGGAGGCCAGAGTCTGGCCCTTTCCCTGTGCGGCTTTTGGCCCTCCCGGGTTCGTGCGGCAGGCTTTCAACTTGCTCCCAAGACGCCCAAGATGGTTTTCAAACGGCCCAAGGAGGCCCAAGAGGTTTCCCAAGAGGTTTCCCGAGAGGGCCTCAAGAGGCGCAAATGGCCCCATTCCCTCCTAGAATATTCGTTTGAGAGCGGCCCGCGAGGCCTCCAAGATCGCCCTGAGACGGCCCAAGAGGTTCCCTACAGGGCTCCAAGACGGCCCAAGAGAGCCCCAAGAAGGCCCAATAGGTCCAATAGGCCCCCAATTCTGCCCATGAAGGCCCCAGGACGGCCCCAAGAGGGGGCCCAGAGGGGGTACCCGAGCGGATTATTAAGCCTTCGCCCCCAAGACTGTTTCAGGGCAGCTTTCTCTCCTTGCTCCGTTACCGCTCCTTTGTCCTGCACGTGCTCCGCCACTCGGCGTGACAGCGCGTGCATTCTGTATCAAGGCTGTTTGCTGGCCGTCTTCTGGCATTCCTCGTTCCTTCTGCACGTGCTCCGCCAGCTGGCGTGGCAGCGCGTGCATTCTATTTCAGGGTAGTTTTTGTCCTGTCCTCCGCCATTCGTCGCCCCTCCCGCACATGCTCGACCAGACAGGCCAAGAAAATGTGACGACATCCAAAGACCAGCAAACTACGTCCTCGACATTTCATCAGCAAGCCAGTCAATGCCCCAAGGCTGTTCAGCGATCTCCCCGACGATTCCGCAAGCCAAGACCTGCGTGTCGTGACAACGAAGATGACGATGACGATGACGATGGCGATCAGGATACGATGGCGATGATGATGACGATGCTGATGGTGATGCTGATGATGATGATGATGATGATGATGATGATGATGATGATGATGATGATGATGATGCTGGTGATGATGATGATGATGATGATGATGATGATGATGATGATGGTGATGGTGATGGTGATGGTGATGGTGATGATGATGATGATGATGATGATGATGATGATGATGATGATGATGACGATGATGACGATGTGTGGTCCAGCTTTCTTGTATTCTTTGGACACAGCGAACCTCGAAAGCTTCGGCGGCGACGACTGCCGACTCAAACCAGCGGCGGCCTGCCCAGCGGAGAGCGCCGCCGCGCGGCCGGCGCGGTCGCCGCCGAGGGGGCGCCGTGGCCGCTCCCAGGCCGCCCCGCGGTCGGCGGTCGGTCCTCGGTCGTTGTTGTTCGTCGAGGTCGTGGTCGTCATGGTCGTCGTGGTCGTTGGTCGTCGTTGGTCGCCGTCGTGGTGGTGATCGCCGTGGTCGTCGTGGTCGTCACCGTCGTCGCGAGGTCGTCTTTAGTCGGGGTCGTGGCCGTCGTGGTGTTCATGGTGTTTGTCGAGGTCGTGTTGTGGTGGTGTTGGCGGTCGTCGTCGACTCGGTGGTCATCTTTTGGGGGCATGATGGAAGATGATAGCGATGACGATGAGGATGACGTGAGATGACGAGGCTGGCAAGAATATGAAGGAGGAGGAGTAGGAGTAGGAGGAGGAGGAGGAGGAGGAGGATGAGGAGGAGGAGGAGGAGGACGAGGAGAAGGAGGAGGAGGAGGAGGAGGAGGAAGAGGAGGAGGGGGAGGCGGCGGCGGCGGCGTTCCACAAGAGTCCAAAGGCGGTCGGACTGAGGAGGAATGGGGGAATACCCCCACATCAAACTGCTCGGCAGTTCACTACACGAGGGGCGCTGGCGGCAGCTCTGCGCATGCACATGGGGTTGCCAGTGTACGGCCCGTGCTGACGAGGCTCCTCTCCAGGCGGTGGGGAGGACGCGAGGCACAGAACAAGAAGCAGCCTGGCGTCACTGACCGCCCACAAGCAAGCAGCAGCGACCGAGGAGGAGGAGGAGGTAGGGACCCGGTGCAGCACCAGGCCGCGGCCGCAGCGAGGCACGTGCGCCCAGCATCCGCAAGCGGACACCGGGCCCACACGCGACACCGGGCCCACAGCGAGGGACGGGCCCCGAGGGGAGGGGGAGAGGCCGACGGCCCGGCGGAGCGGGGAAGGCGAGAGGAGGGGGGAGGGACGAGCGACACGCTGGCAGGAGGGGCCCGTTGCGTCAGTCCAGTCAAGTCCCTGCCCATCGGCAGGCAGCCCTGCAGCAGCGATGACTGGGACGCTGATTGAACGAGGACGAAAGGCCCTTCATTCCCAAACTCACAGCACAGAAGCTTCATCTAGTCCAGAGCGAGGCAGGAGCACAAGTCGTAACTCGAAGCAGTTTCGCCACGCGAGCACTGGACCGTCTCGACAGAGGCGGTGCTACAAAAAATGTCCCAGAGAAGCCAAGATCACCCAGTCGCCTCGATCACTCTCTGACCCTCCAGCTCAAGGTGGCCAGGGGGACGCGGGCCAGCGAAGGCCTGATTATTCTCGGTCCCCGAGCGCCTTCACGATCGTACGCTCAAACATCTGCTCACGGACGGACCTGATGAGGCGACGCTTCTTGCTGTGAAGCGTTTTCTCAGTCCAGAGGAAGCCGACAAAGTGTTGAGCGTCACTCGACCCAGGCTCGAGTTCAGCCAGGTACTTGTTCAGCTGTTCTTTCAGGGGGTCTGCGCAGGACTCCGGCAAGGTTATGGTTAAGTCGGTCCTGTCCTTCTACAGGGGGAATATTCAAAAATAGTCAAAAAATAGTCTGGAGGAAAAATAGTCTGGAGACTATTTGTTGAGTATTTTTGGGCTTATTTTGCAGTATGTTTGGGGTATTTTTTATGTTTCGTCGAAAATCCCCCTGTAGGGCGACGCCCGACTTCAAGGTTATGGCCGCGGCCGTCCGCAGGAACGTCTCCGAATGCCCCAGGTCGTGACCCGCCTCGCCTTGGGCCCTCGGCAGGCGCTCCTCCGAATGAGCCTTGGGCACCGCCTGATCGAGTGCGCCCTCCGTGGCAGGCTCGCACTCGAGTGCGCCCTCCGTGGGTGCCCGCCACGCTGGCGACGCAGTCGCCAAAATGCTCCCTTGCGAGGGCGACGCGCACGTTCGCGAGGACGGCCGGCATTTTCGGCGGCCGACGCACGTGCGGCGCACGGGCGACGATCGCGCGACGCGCCCCTTGTCGCGAAGGGGGGGGGGTCAGCACGCCAGTCGTGTTACTGGGCCTCAACACCCCGTGGCAAGCTCACACCGGACCGTGCACGCTGGCTCGAGACAACCTCAACTTCTGATGAGCAATCACACCAAGCCTGAGTGCCAACGAGGACTTCTCCTCGTCCTCCGCTGACGCCGCTGCACGATACTTCACGCCCCGTCCCTGTGGCACCACGGTGCCGTCACTTTGCCCTTCATGAGAGAACTGATTCCCCCAGGGCCCCATCCAGGACACAGCAGAGCAGGACGTGTGAGCATTGAGCGTGCCACTGAGACCCGAATCATCTGAATCCGAAGCGTATTTCAATTATGCTAGATGGGCATAAATGTCTGAGCATGTGTGTTCTGGCAGCTTATGTGGATAACTCGATGTAACACAACTCGCGCTGATACGGGGCGTCAACCACGTGAGAATGCATCGTAACACATTCTGAGCTTATTTGGCATTTCCTCATCTGGCACTCTGTTCGTTCCAGAGCATATCTTTTCGTTGTGCAGAACATGCCATTTCTTCTACATGCGCTGGAGCCCGTCAGTATGTTGGCAAGACGCTCTTTTCCAT